CCTTCCCCACCCGTCGCCCGCTGCCTTAACAGCCGCCCCACCTGACACCCGCCTCCCCACGAGCTACCACACCCGCCGCCAGTAGCACTAGCAGATTACACTGCCGCCAGTAGCACCAGCAGCCTAGACTACCGCTAGGAGCACCACCAGCAACTTAGACTGCCGCCAGTCGCACCAGCAGCAGCTTCCACTGCCGTCAGCGCACCGGCAGCAACTTAAACTACCCCCTAGCAAAACCAGCAACTTACACCGCCCCACCCGGTACTCCCCACCACGCAGAACCACACTGAACTGCACAGAACCACACCCGCTGCCCCACCCTTTCAAGCCAGAGCTGCTGCCCTGCCCATTCCAGTCACCTCACCCGGAATCAGCCGCCCCACCCGGTACTCTCCACCCCGCAGGATCGCACAGCACCGCATAGAACCGTGCAGAACCGCACTGAACTGCACTGAATCGCACAGAACCGCACCCGCTGCCCCACCTGTACCAGTTAGAGCTGCCCCCCCCCCCACGACCTGAATCCTCCGCCTCAAGAGCTGAAACCCGCCACCAGCAGCACCAGTAGCAGCAGTTTAGGCTGCCCCCAGCAAAACCAGAAGCAACATAGGCTGCCCCAGCGCTCGAGCAGCAGCTTAGGCTACCGCTAGTGCACCAGCAGCAGCTTAGGCTGCCCCCAACGGAACCAGCAGCAGGATAGCCTACCGCCAGCAGCAGTTTAGGCCCACCTGCCAGAACCACCCCCGTTTCTAGCTACTCATATGGCGTGTACTCGAGTTCTACAGCAGTAGGGCCAGCCGCAGCACTCCCGGCAATGGGGACCTGCGGGTCCAAAGTGTGGAGCCCTCAGCAGTGGCTCAGCTAGCAATGGGCGAGACGTCGGCCCCGGCGGGTACCGGGCCCTGACAGGCCCTGGTGCTGGCACTACCTGCTGGAGTCCTGATCACTCTGCGTCCAGCTGCTACCGTCGACTCGACGACCTCCACCGTAAGCGTTTTGGTCCTCACGCTATTACACCGCACTGGCCCTCGCGACTTCGCCAGCGCACTGCTGCACCAGTTGAGTCTCACCTACCTGGTCTAGGACCGTTCCCGGCTGAACGAGTAGAGACCTGTGTTTCCAGTCTTGGTGCGTGTGTTGTTTCTAGACCAGGCGCCTCTGAGGGTCTTTGTGTAGGAGCTGCAGCTACCAATAGTCTAGCACCAGCCTTTTTTGCTGGTTCGGATGCGACCCCACAGACTGCACAGCTTTCCTTCACCCTAGACTCTGGAGCGTCCAGCTGTTTCTTTCGCGATTGTACTGACCACACACCACTGCGCACTCCAGTCACTGTCGCCTTGGCTGACCCCTCTGTGGGACGTGTAGTTGCTCGCAGCACCACCACTCTCCCGTGTCCGGCGGCTCCTTCAGGTCTTCTTATAGGTTACTACACCCCCTCGTTCTCTAGGAACCTGGTGGGTGTCAGTCACCTCCACGACCTAGGTGTAGTCACCACTTTCCCACTGGACGAGCCTGTTGCCTCCTGCATAGTCGGTACCATTGGGGCCCCTCTGGCAACTTTTCACAGGGAGCCGGGCTCTGGTATGTACTCACTACACACTGGGTCCCACCGCACTGGGTCAGGCCAGGTCAAGTCAGGTCAGGTAGCTGTTGTGTCGTGCGACTGTCGCTCCCTCAGCCACCCGTCTGTCCTCTGGCACCACCGTCTAGGTCACCCGTCGTTCCCATGTCTCAGTAGGATGGCACGTTACCGCCTGGTCTCAGGTCTCCGAGAGTCGCTTGCCCCACTTCCTCGCTCGCCTGCGCCGCTGTGCACTCCTTGCGTCGAGGGTCGGCAGTGCGCTGCCCCTCACTCCTCCTCGTTCCCCCCCACCACGGCTCCCTTCCAGACCCTGCACTTGGACGTCTGGGGCCCCTCCCTGGTCCTTGGACCACGTCAGGAGCGCTACTTCCTGATTGGCTTCCCTTTGGATGCCTTCGGCTGGGTGTTCTACGACCCGGTCACCTGCGGGATCTTCGCTTCTCAGGACGTCACGTTTGACGAGTCTGTCTGTTACTACAGGAGTCGCCCCCACCGAGGTACTGAGGTCTTTCCCCCCCCGCTGTTCCTCACCCTTGAGCCTCCCCCAGTTGCCCCGGTAGCCCCCCCCATTTCGCGTCCTGCCTCGTCAAGGTGTGTCGCATGACATTCCGCAGTCGTCCCCCCCGCAGCGTCCAGTCCCTGTCGTGTCCGGGGGTGCGGGAGGTGCAGTAGCGGAGGGTGAGGGTACTGGGGCTGCAGGAGCTGGTGGTGTTGGCCCTGGGGGTGCAGGGGTTGTGGGCGTGGAGGTCACTCCTGTGGAGGACACGGCAGCCTCGAGTCGGCGGCCTCGCCCTGCCTCACCCCCTGGCTTCCCGTCCGTCCTGCTGTTTCCTCCTCGTTCTTCTCTGTTGAGTCCCTTTCTTCCTCCCAGTGGACTCGTCGTTCTCCCCTCAGTCGTGCTGTGTCCCCAGAGCGTCGTCGGTCTCGTTACCGTGCAGACAGTCCGTTCGACCTTGTTCTTCGCTCTCGTGTTCCACCTCCTCCTGTCCTTCCACAGCCCCCTGAGTCGTCCCTCACTATGCTTCATGACCCGTTGTCCGACTTCCTCCGTGCCTCCCATCCTGTCGTCTCCCGTGTTTTGTCTGCGTTGATCACTCACCCGACTGCAGCTCTGTCATGTGTCTCAGCTCTTGTTACCCTTGTCGCTGGCTTTGCCTCTTCCCACCGCCTTGACTACGCCGCTCACATGGTGAGTGGCCCTGCTCGTTCTCCGTTCTCTGGGGGTGCTCCGGTCTTTCCGCTGGAGGTCCTCAAGGACATGCAGTTCGAGCTTGGTTTCCTTGCGGCCGCTTCATCTCTGCGCCATGCTACTTGCCCCTGAGGGGGATCCAGACGCCCTTGACATCCTGATCCCTCGCACTCACGCCGAGGCGGTCTCGGGACCCTGGGCTTCGTACTGGATAGCAGCTGAGGAGGCAGAGATGGCATCTTATAGGTCCACAGGCACTTACGTCGATGCAGTCCCACCACCTGGTACAAACGTCGTCAGTGGCCGATGGCTCTACAAGGTGAAGCGGCCGCCTCGATCACCACCTGTGTTCAAGGCGCGCTATGTGGCGAGAGGCTTCAATCAGTGAGAGGGGGTGGACTTCTTCCAGACCTTTGCTCCCACCCCGAAGATGAGTACTCTTCGGTTGTTGCTGCATTTTGCAGCCCAGCGCGACTACGAGTTGCACTCCTTGGACTTTTCCACCGCGTTCCTTCAGGGGAGCCTGCACGAGCAGATCTGGCTGCGTCGCTCGCCTGGCTTCAATGGCTCTTTCCCACCTGGGACCCAGTGGCAGCTACGTCGACCAGTCTACAGCCTGCGTCAGGCTCGACGTGAGTGGCACGACACACTTCGCTCGACCCTTGCAGCTCTTGACTTCTTTCCGTCGTCTGCTGACCCAACCTAGCTCGGTGCTATAACTATAATGAAATATAGGAAAGCACCTAGCCTAGGAAATCAAGCAATTCATGCATGCATATAATTTTCCTATGCTAGAAATAGCATAATAAAGTAAAGGCAAGCAAGCATAGCTGGCATAAGCCGTCGTACTCTCACAAAGAGGCTCTCATCACAGCTGCTGGTCCTGAATCCCATCTCCTCTAAAACAGCTGCCAACTTCTAGTACCAGCAGCGTGGCGCCTGCTTCAAGCCGTAGATGGACTTTTTCAGCTTGCACACCCTGCCCGTACCATCCTCATACCCAGGCGGCTGCGTCATGTACACATCCTCCTCTAAAATCCCATTGAGGAATGCCGTTGGTATATCCATCTGAATGATGAATTTTCCACTAACGGTTGCATCTGCCAACAAGACAAGGAGGGTAGGGGGTTTGGCAGTGGGAGCAAAGATCTCATTGAAGTCCCGCTTCTCCTTCTGCATAAACCCCTTAGCCACCAGCCTACTCTTGTAGATGGTGACCTGTCCCTTGTCATCGGTCTTGATCCTTAGCACCCACTTGCACTGTACGGCTTTCTTCCCCTCAGGCAGCACCACCAGCTCCCATGTCCCATTCTCTAGCAGGCTCTGGTACTCAGCATCCCTGGAAACCAGCCACTTCTCCCTATCCAGCTAATGCCTCCTCCATGCTAGCTGGTTCCTCTGGTGCAGGGGCAAGAAAGCAGTAGGCAGGTTCATCCTCCTCATCCGGATCATAGCCATGCGGTAGAATCAGCAATGCCTCCTCTGTCCCAAGCTGCTGCTCTGCTACATCAGCTCCTGCAGTCAGCTTCTTAGTAGCCATACGGGTACGTCCTGGCCTGGAGACGGGTGTCTCCCAATCTCTCATAACAACACCCTTCGGCTCTTTAGTTTTCCCCTGCTCCTGCTCTCCTCCCTCGGATCCAGCAGCTCCACTAGTGCTACCGCTAGTCTCCACACCATCACCTCCACCTGCAGGTGCCTCCTGCACCTTCTCTCCATCACCACCCTCTGCAGCTGCCTCCTCTCCCTCCTCCCACACACTAGGAGTCAGGTCCAGCTGCATGGTGATCTGCTCCATCTACTGGGACACCCTCGCCTCCGGCTGTTTCTCCCAGCTCCCATACATCATGCCCTCAACAAACTTCACATCCTTGCTGTCAAACAACACACCCTTGGAAGGTTCCCACAGCAGCCATCCCTTGCTCTCAGCAGCCAGCTCCAAATGCACACACCAGATTGCACTGCGGTAGGTCTTGGGGACGTGGGCGACTACCATGCAACCGAACACCCTCAGCATGTCCACCAGCGGCTTCCTCCCAAGCCACCTCTCCAACGGCACCCACGAGTCATCCCCAACCTTTGTGAGTACCCTGTTCCTAGCGACGGTAGCGTGCCGAACAGCATGGGGCCACATCAAGTTGCCCAGCCCAGATTCTGTGAGCAGCGCCCTAGCTGTCTCCAGAATTGTCCGTTTTGCCCGTTCTGTCTCCCCAGATCTGGCCGACACTTTCACACCAACCCCTCCAACGGCATTGCACTCCCCCTGGGATGCAGACCCCTCTCCAGCCTGCCCCCCACCATGCCACGCCAACGCCGGCAGCTGCCACATGGATCTGTACACGTCCGTGCTCTCGTGCAGATCCCAAAGCACCCGATTGCCCAGCTGCCCCTTGTAAGTGCGTGCCCCATCCGTGCTAGTGCTCACCCCAGCCTTGGCAAGCTTACGGAGGGAGATGAGGTTGGCCTTTAGTTCAGGAACGAGGAGAACGTCGTGCAGCACCACCGGCTTGCCATCCGCTCCCTTAAACGCAGCTCGTCCCGCACCAGCCACCTTCAGCGCGTGTCCAGAGGCGGAGCACACCTCGTTGATCGGTGCAGCGCGTACGTGGTCCAGCAGGTCCTTGCGCGGCGTCATCGTCCAAGCAGCGCCCGTGTCCAACACCCAATAATCCAGGGGGTGCAGCTCTGCTCCAACCTTGGCAGAGGCATCTCCTTTTTCCCCCTGCTCTCTAATATGGAAGAACTGGCCAGCGATGCGCTCCTTCTTCTTCTCCGCACGGCCGTTGCTCTTCGGGTTGTTGTCGGACGAATCGGCGACCATGCTCGCGCCGTTTTTCTGGTTCCTCCGCGCGCCGCCATCCTGGTGACGATTCCTGGGGGGTCCATCGATCGGGTCTCTTATAGCACAAAAACCAGGGGTGCCCCTCCTTCTCACAATACCAGCAACTCCCTTTCATTTTGCCACCAGCACCTGACTTGCCCCCACGTCCAGATTTCGCACCGCGACCCCAACCGGTACCTCCTTGTTGGTCGTTGGAGTCGTCGTCCTTCTTTGCACCGTGTCTAGCACCACCGAAGCCACGTCCTCTGCCACGTCGGCTCCCTTGCATCCCATAGCCGCTGCTGCCGTCGTCTCCACCCCTCAGTTGGCGGCGACGGAAGTCCTCCTCCAGAATCTTTGTCCGCACCCACTCGAGTGTCCACGAGCTCTGGTTCTGCGGCAGGCTCAATCCGCTCGTGAATTGAAGCCATGATTCCGGCAGCAGCGAGAGCATCTTCAAGCACTTGGTCTGCTCCGGGTAGGTGATTCCCGCGGTCGCCAACTTCGCGTAGAGGTCGCGCATCTTGTCCAGGACAGGTTGCACCGGCTCTCCCTCGCTCAGGCGCAACGCGGACAGCTCCCTCTCCAGCATCAACGTTGCAACAACGGAGGTCGGGGCGTGCAGCTCCTTCAACACGGTCCACGCCTTCGGACCGCACTCAACCTCCGGCAGCAGGTGCATGACGTGGTGACGCTGGTTCAGCTCCAAACTCTGCGACATCAAATAGTAGCCAGCCGAGGAGCGCTCATCCCAATCTTCCTGCAGCGCGGGGTCACTCGGTCTAGGCTCCTCTCCAATCATTAGTTTCAGCAAACCGATCTGACGGAAATACAATTGCATTTTCCAGGCCCAATCATCATAGCCCTCACTATTGAACTTCTCGACGGTGAAGTTTTTCAGCACCTCCTTGACCAGCGAGCCCTGGTTTTGTTCGCGCTCCCCTTGGCGCTGAAACACGAGAATCTTGGCTGCCGCTACGATCTTGGGCTGAAGATTCACCAGCTCCCGTCGAGGTGTTGCCCGCCATAGCTACCTATATCGAGAATCACTATAACGAAGCTCTGATACCAGCTTGTTGGTGTAAGGGCCTAATAAACTCAAGCTATTAAGACTTTATCAAACTTAAAACCTCTCCTCGGGGTCACCTCCAAGGGTCCTTGGGTGCCTGGTACAAGACCAGCCCCTATCCTCGGGTCCGAGTTTGTAGAGAGAGGGATCAAGAGGGACTTAGTCAAAACAGCAAGAGTACCTTGAACGTCGCGCAGCGTATCGTGCAGACCAACGATCGGATTAAGCTGAGAATTTCCTATATCGAAGCTCGCTCCAAGAGCTTTAAAATGAACCAAGCTGCCTCGCGAAAAGTTCTGCCATTACGAAGTTATGGCTCGGACAGCGTTTGCCTAGCATTGGAGTGCTAGCGTACTAGCGTCGACTCGGATAGCATACCGCCGTCGCACCGCGTAGAAACGAAATTCCAGCAAGGAAGGAATTCGCTTGAATCAATTTCACTATATTCAGGTACAAACAGAGAAGGAATAAATAGCTCTAGCTAGCAAGGACCTTGGGAATAAACCTGGGAACAACCAGGGATGATCCCAAATAACTCCAAGCAACAGAACCAACCTGGCTAGACAAAACAGCAGGTGGTAGGTTGGTAAACAACCTCTGGTTCTGTTTTTCCAACCTGGGAAAACAACAACCAGGTTCAGGTCCTAAAAACAGAACCTGTTTTGTCCTTGCCCAACCAGCCAAATGCTGGTTCCGCTGGTTTCCCCTGGCCCTGTAGCATGCAGATACAGACAAACAACATCCAACCTTCACCTAAATTGTACCCCTATTCCATCTTGTGTTCCTTTGCGAGCTCGTCCTTTCTGCTTGTACTGTTCATAGCGTGTACAATGTTGTGCCGAAGCGCACAATGCGCGAGTACCTGCAAATGCTTCAAGCGAAAATTGTGAAAGCAAACAAACACACGAACATTCCATTCACACCCAAATGCATTCGCACACGCATACTCGTACAAACAGACGGCAGGATGTCGTGCAATGTGAATTTGCACCCAACAACATCAAGTTGCCCAGCCCAGATTCTGTGAGCAGCGCCCTAGCTGTCTCCAGAATTGTCCGGTTCGCCCGTTCTGCTACACCGTTAGATTGTGGGTTATAAGCTGTGGTCAGCTCCCTCTGGATGCCCTGCTTCTTGAGCCAGGCCGTCATCTCAGCTCCAAGGAACTCACCACCCCGATCTGTCCTAATCCGCTTCACCACACAGTCCGCTTGCTTCTCCACGAATGGCAGCCAATCTCCCCGTATCGTAGAGGCGGCATGGTCCTTCTGCTTTAGCGGATATGCCCACATAAGCCTGCTCCAATCATCCACTATGGTAAGAAAGTACTGCTCCCCCTTGTTCCCCTGAACCGGCAGCGGCCCCACCAAGTCCATGTGGACCAACTCCAATGGCTTCTTGCTCCTGCCAGTCACACTATCGAAGGGGAAACGGGTCAATTTGGATAGCAAGCATATTTCACAATTGTCATGAGATGGCTGGCCATTCAGCTTCAGACCCTTGACGACCCCATCTTTCTCCAGCTGCTTCAGCAAAGGCATTGCTACATGCCCCAAGCGACGGTGTGCCGTTGCCCAATCCGTCTCCCCAGATCTGGCCGACACTTTCACACCAACCCCTCCAACGGCGTTGCACTCCCCCTGGGATGCAGACCCTTCTCCAGCCTGCCCCTCACCGTGCCACGCCAATGCCGGCAGCTGCCACATGGATCTGTACACGTCTCTGCTCTCGTGCAGATCCCAAAGCACCCGATTGTCCAGCTGCCCCTTGTAAGTGCGTGCCCCATCCGTGCTAGTGCTCACCCCAGCCTTGCCAAGCTTACGGAGGGAGATGAGGTTGGCCTTGAGTTCAGGAACGAGGAGAACGTCGTGCAGCACCACCGGCTTGCTATCCGCTCCCTTAAACGCAGCTCGTCCCGCACCAGCCACCTTCAGCGCGTGTCCAGAGGCGGAGCACACCTCGTTGATCGGTGCAGCGCGTACGTGGTCCAGCAGGTCCTTGCGCGGCGTCATCGTCCAAGCAGCGCCCGTGTCCAACACCCAATAATCCAGGGGGTGCAGCTCTGCTCCAACCTTGGCAGAGGCATCTCCTTTTTCCCCCTGCTCTCCAATATGGAAGAACTGGCCAGCGATGCGCTCCTTCTTCTTCTCCGCACGGCCGTTGCTCTTCGGGTTGTTGTCGGACGAATCGGCGACCATGCTCGCGCCGTTTTTCTGGTTCCTCCGCGCGCCGCCATCCTGGTGACGATTCCTGGGGGGTCCATCGATCGGGTCTCTTATAGCACAAAAACCAGGGGTGCCCCTCCTTCTCACAATACCAGCAACTCCCTTTCATTTTGCCACCAGCACCTGACTTGCCCCCACGTCCAGATTTCGCACCGCGACCCCAACCGGTACCTCCTTGTTGGTCGTTGGAGTCGTCGTCCTTCTTTGCACCGTGTCTAGCACCACCGAAGCCACGTCCTCTGCCACGTCGGCTCCCTTGCATCCCATAGCCGCTGCTGCCGTCGTCTCCACCCCTCAGTTGGCGGCGACGGAAGTCCTCCTCCAGAATCTTTGTCCGCACCCACTCGAGTGTCCACGAGCTCTGGTTCTGCGGCAGGCTCAATCCGCTCGTGAATTGAAGCCATGATTCCGGCAGCAGCGAGAGCATCTTCAAGCACTTGGTCTGCTCCGGGTAGGTGATTCCCGCGGTCGCCAACTTCGCGTAGAGGTCGCGCATCTTGTCCAGGACAGGTTGCACCGGCTCTCCCTCGCTCAGGCGCAACGCGGACAGCTCCCTCTCCAGCATCAACGTTGCAACAACGGAGGTCGGGGCGTGCAGCTCCTTTAATACGGTCCACGCCTTCGGACCGCACTCAACCTCCGGCAGCGGGTGCATGACGTGGTGACACTGGTTCAGCTCCAAACTCTGCAACATCAAATAGTAGCCAGCCGAGGAGCGCTCGTCCCAATCTTCCTGCAGCGTGGGGTCACTCGGTCTAGGCTCCTCCCCAATCATTAGTTTCAGCAATCCAATCTGACGGAAATATAGTTGCATTTTCCAGGCCCAATCATTATAGCCCCCACCATTGAACTTCTCGACGGTGAAGTTCTTCAGCACCTCCTTGACCAGCGAGCCCTGGTTTGTTCGCGCTCCCTTTGGCGTTGAAACACCAGAATCTTGGCTGCCGCTACGATCTTGGGCTGAAGATTCACCAGCTCCCGTCGAGGTGTTGCCCGCCATAGCTACCTATATCGAGGATCACTATAACGCAGCTCTGATACCAGCTTGTTGGTGTAAGGGCCTAATAAACTCAAGCTATTAAGACTTTATCAAACTTAAAACCTCTCCTCGGGGTCACCTCCAAGGGTCCTTGGGTGCCTGGTACAAGACCAGCCCCTATCCTCGGGTCCGAGTTTGTAGAGAGAGGGATCAAGAGGGACTTAGTCAAAACAGCAAGAGTACCTTGAACGTCGCGCAGCGTATCGTGCAGACCGTCGATCGGATTAAGCTGAGAATTTCCTATATCGAAGCTCGCTCCAAGAGCTTTAAAATGAACCAAGTTGCCTCGCGAAAAGTTCTGCCATTACGAAGTTATGGCTCGGACAGCGTTTGCCTAGTGTTGGAGTGCTAGCGTACTAGCGTTGACTCAGGTAGCATTCCGCCGTCGCACCGCGTAGAAACGAAATTCCAGCAATGAAGGAATTCGCTTGAATCAATTTCGCTATATCCAGGTACAAACAGAGAAGGAATATATAGTTCCAGCTAGCAAGGACCTTGGGAATAAACCTGGGAACAACCAGGGATGATCCCAAATAACTCCAAGCAACAGAACCAACCTGGCTGGACAAAACAGCAGGTGGTAGGTTGGTAAACAACCTCTGGTTCTGTTTTTCCAACCTGGGAAAACAACAACCAGGTTCAGGTCCTAAAAACAGAACCTGTTTTGTCTTTACCCTAAACTCCTCTGTACACCCGACCACGATGTTGGCTCTGCCCAAGCGAGGACGGGGCCTAACACAATTCCTGTTGACAAGTTCTGGGGGTGATAGAGTAGGAGGTGCTAGTTTTGGGGGTGCTGTGCCGGTACTCCTCCACTTGGCGCTCCTGTGCCTCCTCGTCATCGAAGGTGAGCTTGGCGTAGGCGTCGACCGAGACCGGCGTCTTTGGGGTGCGCCCGGTCTTCTCCTCGTCGAGGAACCGCCTATGTAGCTTATCGACGTAGCCCTGTTGGTGTAGCCACAGCTTCTTTGCCGGCCTGTCACGTACGATCTCCAGCCCGAGGTACTTTTGCACCGGCGAGATCTCCCGCAGCTCGAAGGCGGCCTCTAGCAGCTCCATCAGCTCCTTCAGCATCGCGGGGCTGCTGCTGGCGGCGAGAAGGTCGTCGACGTAGACCATCACCCAGCAGGCCACTCCGTCGTCGCAGACCTTGAAATATAGAGCCTCGTCAACCTGGCTCTTCTTCCACCTAGCGCCGACCAGCACATTGTTGAGCGCCGTGTACCATAGCAGCGGCGACTGCTACAGCCCGAACAAGCTTTTCAGCAGCTTGCACACCCAGCCGGTTCCGTCGTTGAAGTGGTCCGGCTGGTACATGTAGAGCACCCGGTCAAGCTTGCTCTGCAGGAAGGCGTTCTTCATGTCGAGCTGCATCAGGTTGAGGTTGAGGACGGTGACGATGCTGAGGAAGATCCTCAGGGTGACGTAGCTGCTCACCAGCACGTACGTCTCGTCGTAGTCGGTGCCATACG